GCATGGCGAATTAGGGGGGTGCCCTGTGCGAGACCATCCTGTCTCGCCTTGCGAATAGGATGCGCTGTGCGAACCCTTTGGGTCTAGTATTCTCTTTTGCTCTTGCTTTGGGTGAACCAAATGTGTGGAATGATTGAAATGCATAGCATGATGGTAGTAATGTTATTGAACATATTGTGTGTGATGGTATGAAACATGTTTGGTGGTTGAATGTATCAAGTTTGGTTGATGGGCGTAATTCCATGGATCTCTAAGGAGGTTACATGGTGGTGCCCTATAGTATTGGATGTAATTCCATGATCTTCAAGGAGAAGATTCATGATGGTGCCCTTAGTGTTTAGAATGATTTGCATGATAGCTCAGTCTTGGAGGTTATCTTGGAACTACAATGGTCGATCATTCTCAAGTAGAGAGGGTTGAACCATGTCGTGAGTAGTAGCAGGAGGTCCTAGTCTTGGAGGCTTCCAGTATGGCCCAAGGTGAGTGATAACGGATTAACCTCGTGAGTGTGGTAGGGTGAAACCCATTAGCAATGAATTTGCAAAGCAGTAGAGGCCACCACGAGTGCACGACCCGCCATAGCTCGACAATCATTCTAAGTCCGGACGAGTCAAGTTTAAGTGCAACATGTCTGTTGATGCAGTGTAGTGTATCTGTCTTACTTGCATGTTGCCTTTGATTGTTATAACAATTTTTATATCTAGCTCACCCTTGCTCGTATGTTTGTGTTTTGTTTGGGTATGCTTTTCTTTTGCAATGATCATCCACTTGGATGTGAGTAGAGGCGGATGAGGTGCCTCTAGAGCAAGCTTTGGAGGACGATAGTGCTGCTACTTATTTTGGTTAGGACACTTGGTTGTCCTTATTATTTTGAAATACTCTAATGCGTTTAAAGTTTTAAATTAGGCTTAATACCCTATTTTGTCCCCAGTTTTGCTCGAAAATATCAAATTAGTCTATCCTTTAAAAAGTGCGTCAATTACGTCCTTACTTAATAAAATTTATATCAATGAAATCTCTTCCGTTAAATCCATACAAACGGTGTTAATTATTTTTCTCTCTCTTTTACTTTTTCTACTTTTTCTGGTTTTTCTGCTTTTTCTGTGTAACGCAGCAGCTTTTTTCTCTCTTCCACTGCATCAAATTAATTGCCAACTTTTTAATATCACATCACGTCACTCTTCCTATTTAGTACTACCTAGCCAAACATTTTTCTTCTTCTTCTTATATACAAAGTGGGACCCATACTTTTAATTTCACCCAGATAAGAAACACTTCTCCATATCCATATGTATGAACTTTATCTCTTACTTTCTAATAATTTCACTATGCTTATTAACTTTATCTCAACCAGAGAGTTCTGCTTTGAAACTAACCCACCCAAAAATAAACTAGGAGATGTGAGGACACTGTACCTTTTTATTAAACCCCTTTTCTCTCTTCTTAATTCCATGGTCCCACCACCACTTCATTACCAATTCCTATATACATATATATAAGAAACCAAAATCAAACAAGACAAGGAATCCTCTCTGACTCCTTTCTACCTGTACCAAAATTTTCCACTATATGTTTTTCTTTTCACCCATTCCCATAACGGGTCCTACTCAGCCCCTTTATTTCTCAGTTTCACTTACACCTTGCATGTTCCTTTTTTTTTTCTTCCTTTGCTTCTTCAAACCTCACACAAACTCAAACTCTCCCTGCAACTCCTCACGTAACCCATCAAGACTCTCACTACCCTTTCTATTTAATTAATCTCACACATAAACCGAGACCAATACTTTACAAACCACTCAAACTCCAACATTCTTCACGTATCTACAACTCAACATAAACCTTTAGATATTTCTTCTTCATCACTTAAGATTCACGCACACATGTCCTTACCACTTCCAAAATTATTCTTTACTTTCCTTCCCTATATAATAATCAAGTACACTACTCTCTCCTATTAAACTTTCACTTGACATCCTTACTTCACTCTATCCACTATTCTCATTTACAACCATTTTGAACACCCCAAAGCAAAGCTCAAAACAAGAAACACCCAACCCACTCTGCAAGTCTCTCCTCCCTCCATAATATTCACATAAAACTATCACACCTCGTTTTAACCTTACACCTATTCTACAAGACCCAAGACCACTCTATATCCATTCTTCCTCATCTATAGAACCCAAGATCACAATACCTAGGACCGTAATATACTACACTGTCTGCAAGCGAAAACAAAATGAGACTCTTATCCACTCACTCCCTTATTTCTCTACAGTTCTCTTATTGAAACGAGAATGACACCACAAAACCAAACCCTACCCTAGGATATCTCACAAGTTTACACACGCACACTCTCACTATAGGTCTACATGCAACTAGGGTTCCACTCTTTGTTCCCAAAGCTTCTCTATGTTCCCTTGACTCCTAGCAGCGTTGGACAACCTCTCCTCTCTCGTGGCAACAGTAGAATCTCTCCTGACGTTTAGGTTTCACGGTTCATTCCATTCTCCTCGCTACACTCAAGTCATGGTACAAAGCAAAGACTCTCACACTATCTACGGCCAGAATGAGAATTAGGGTTGCCTCCCTTTGCTCCTACGCCCTTAATACTTATATCATTCCCTGTTTTGACCTAAAACAAATTATGCAAATACCCACATTAATCCTAATCTCATCTAGCCCAGACTCCATCTTCAAATATAACCCACTTCCCTAAAATAGCCCTAATGTTTAAGGGTACAAAAAGCAGCGCTTTAATGATAGCAAAGATGTCCCACGTTCCTTAGTATGGTCCTAAGAAAAGAAGGAAGCCTTCCTTCGTATCACACGAAGAATTCAGCCACAACAATTTTCCCACTTTTCGGTTTGGCTTAAGAAGCATAACGTCACGTACTTTGCATGGCACAGGAGCACCATCTACTTTTAGTGATACCCCTTCCTGGCACCCATCAAAACATTCACAAGGAGTAGAGAAAGACTTTTCTTTCTACTGTCCTTCGAGAAAACGGCATAAAACCCAAAACAAGCATTCTCTCTCTCACGTTCAAAGGGGTCAACACCCAAAAAGAATTACACACCCCTCTCCCCTTGAAAAGAAATCAGTTCCCTCTCGCACTCACAAATACACATCCTAAGCAAAACCGAGGAGAACTTACATCTCTATGCATGCAAGGATTCATCACACCACACTAACAAAAGTCACTACTCCACCTAACCATTCCCATAGTAACTTACCAAGCCTTCTTTCAATTAATGAGAAAGAAAAAGAAAGTTTCTTCGTTTTGACTTAGTCTAACACTTTATTTTTCTTTTTATTCACAATTTCTCCACCTGCAACATGTACGGGTGAGAGAGGATTGAAAATTTTCATTGAAACTTTGATTGAGTATGAGACCCATGGTGTAAGAAATAATGGGGTTTAATAAAAAGACTGACAGAGGTGCGGGGAATTTGGATGTTAGTGTGCAGAGATGAGAACTTATTTTGTATCACTTTACCCAGAGTTGCAGCGGAAAAAGTACTGACAATATGTTTTCACAGAAAAGCAGAAGAGAGAGAAAAAAATTTAATGCCGTTTGTGAGTATTTAATGGAAGGGACTTGATTTAGGCAAATTTTACCAAGTGGGAATGCAATTGACACTTTTTTAAAAGGAGGAACCTAATTGACACTACTCATCAAACCTAGGGAAAAAATAAGCTATTAAGCTTTTAAATTATGACTTATTTTGGGATGATTATAACTTTAATACTTTACTTACAGTCTACTTCTAACTGTTCTCTTATATTAAAATGTGAACTTACTATATTATATATTTCTATATAATCTGGGATGTTACATTTATGGTATCAGAGCAGTTTCTATCGTTAGAAAATCCTATAGGGTATGTGTGTGTCTTTCTTATGCTTGTGTACTCTTAGTCATGTTTAAGTTGGTTGTTCTTGTTTATTTGAGTTGGACTAATGGCCTTTTTCTTCTCTGTGTGAACAGAAGATGACACCTAGGCTTCCTCCTCCTCCTCCCCCTCAGGCCGAGCCATCTGAATCTAACCAGATGTTAGAGACTGTGCTTCAGGCGTTGCAACAACAGAATGCTGCACTGGTTCAACAAAACACAATAGCCTTGCAGAATCTAGAAGCTGCAAGAGTGTCTGCTGAGAACGCCAGAGCATCGATTGTTACCACCTAGAGGCAATTCATGGATATGATGGCTAGTGGTAGGACAGCTGCAGGCGCGTCTTCATCTGTAGGTCCGGTCTTGGAATGGAGCTTGGAAACCTTTCTGCAGCACCATCCAGCCAGGTTTGATGGGAAGTGTAGCCCGGATGAAGCTGATCATTGGTTCCGGGACATGGAGAGAATTTACCATGCTAAGAGGTGCCTAGATGAGAACAAACTGGCATATACTGAATACTTGCTAACTGGGGAAGCAAGTCACTGGTGGAGCAGCATGAAAATGATCCTTGATGGGAGTGAAGCTCCTATTACTTGGGAGTTGTTCAAGGAGAAGTTCTACACTGAGTACTTCCCTGACAGTGTGAGGTATGATAAGGAGATTGAATTTCTCTAGCTAGTGCAAGGAAGTATGCCCGTGGCAAAGTATGTAGAAAGGTTCAAGCACTTGCTCCGATTCTACACCATGACTATGGATGAAGAGTGGCAGTGCAGGAAGTTTGAGAATGGTCTAAGGAGAAACATCAAGTTGTTGGTGGAAGGACTGCGTATCAAGGAGTTCCCTACCTTGGTGGAGATGGCCCGCGTGATGGAGAAGACCAAGATGGAAGCTGAAGGGCAACAGAGTCAGCCTGTTAGAAGTGGAGGACCATCTGGGTCCCGTGGTGGATTTAGTTCCAAGAGGGCTCCTTACCCTAGACCATCACCATCTTCTGGGTCTAAGGGTTCATCCTCCCAACCGTCGGTCCATTCAGGACAGTCTAGCCACTCAAGAGGGTTGCGATGCTATAAATGTGGAGGGCCACATCTATAGTCTGTGTGTCCTCAGATGAGCGGTTACCGGAGGTGTAACATCTGTCATGATGAGGGTCACTTTGCTAGAGAATGTCCTACAGTCAGAAGGATTGGACCACCGACACACCATGTTGGGAGATCTATTAAGAGGGGTGGTGCCAAACCACAGACTACTAGGCGAGTTTACGCTTTGACTGGAGTAGAGGCAGTTAACTCAGGTAACCTCATCGTCAGCTGTTGTTTGTTGTTTGGTATGCCTTGTGTGGTGTTGTTTGATTCGGGGGCGACACATTCATTTATGTCTGAGACTTATGCGGAGAAATTGGGTTTGGTAGTCGGGGAGCTTCAGTGTAATCTGGTGGTTTCTACACTAGCATCTAGGTTGGTCAGGACGTCTACAGTATGTTCTAGATGTCCTATTGAGGTTGAGGGGCGTAAATTCAGAGTGAACCTTATCTACTTGCCTCTACAAGGGCTAGAGGTAATCTTGGGAATGGATTGGCTATCTGCCAATCGCATTCTTATCGACTGTGGTAACAAGGATTTGATATTTCCTAGCGAAGATGAAGATATGTCCTTGTCGATAGGCGTGTTGAGGCAAGACATAATGGAAGGCGCCAATTGTTTCTTGGTGATGTCGCATATGGAAGCAACGTCGGATCATTCGTCTCACGAGAATTATAGTGTAGACCTTTTAGTCGTGAATGACTTCGTGGATGTTTTTCCTGAAGAAGTTCCTGGTTTACCTCCTCCGCGAGAAGTGGAGCTCTCCATTGATCTGGTCTCAGGAGCAGAGCCAGTATCTATAGTCCCTTATCAGATGGCTCCAGCTGAGTTGACTGAGTTAAAGAAGCAGATTAAAGAGCTGTTAGAGAAACAATTTATCCGGTCAAGTGCTTCGCCGTGGGGTGCGCTAGTGTTGCTAGTAAAGAAGAAGGATGATAGATCAAGGTTGTGTGTCGACTAACGACAACTGAATAAGCTGACTATTAAGAATAAGTATCCGTTGTCGAGGATAGATGATTTGATGGATCAGTTGTATGGAGTTACGGTGTTTTCTAAGATTGATCTGAGGTCGGGTTATCATCAGATCTTGGTGAAAGCAGATGATGTGCAGAAGACGGCGTTCAGGTCTAGATATGGCCACTATGAGTATGTAGTTATGCATTTTGGTGTGACTAATGCTCCAACCATTTTCATGGACTATATGAATCAAATTTTTAGACCGTTCTTGGATAGGTTCATTGTTGTCTTTATAGATGACATACTTGTCTATTCTAAGACTCAGGAAGAACATGAAAATCACCTTAGGGTAGCACTTGGAGTACTGAGAGAGAAAAAATTGTATGTCAAACTGTCTAAGTGTGAGTTTTGGATGGAAGAAGTTCCTTTTCTTGGGCATGTGATTTCAATCGGAGGAATTTCTGGTTTATCCTGCTAAGGTGCAAGCAGTACTTCAGTGGGAGAAACCTAAGACTGTGACTGAAGTCAGGAGTTTTGTGGGTTTGGCGGGCTATTATCGCCATTTTATTAAGAGTTTTGCTCGGATTGTGGCGTCGTTGACGCAACTGACTAGGAAGGATCAACCTTTTGTTTGGACAGACCGTTGTGAGACTAACTTCCAAGAGCTAAAGAAAAGGTTCACTAGTGCACCAATTTTGGTGATCCTTGACACATGTAAACCTTTTGAGGTTTTCTGTGATGCCTCTCATCAAGGATTAGGGTGTGTGCTGATGTAGGAGAAGAAGGTAGTGGCGCATGCATCAAGACAACTCAAGGCTCATGAGAATAATTACCCCACTCATGACTTAGAGTTGACAGTTGTAGTCTTTGCTTTGAAGATTTGGAGACACTACCTGTATGGCGCGCAGTTTCAAGTGTTCAGTGATCATAAGAGCCTAAAGTATCTCTTTGATCAGAAGGAGGTTAATATGAAGCAAAGAAGATGGATGAAGTTTCTTAAAGATTTTGATTTTGATCTCCTCTATCACCCTGGGAAAGCTAATGTGGTGGCAGATGCATTGAGTAGGAAGTCAGTGCATGTCTCCATGTTGATGGTCAGAGAGTTAGAGTTGGTGGAAAGCTTCAGAGATTTGAGATTGCGAGTGGACTTTGAAGCTGACAGCATCAGATATAGTAAATTGGTGGTGTCTAGTAGTTTATTAGAGCGTATTAAAGAAGGGTAGTTATTAGACACCGAGCTTCAGAAGTCAGTAGCTTTAATTGGTAATGAACAAGGAAAGGACTTCAATACAGGGACAGATGGTCTCTTACGGTTCAGAGGTAGGACGTGTGTCCCTAATGATGGAGAATTAAAGAGATTAATACTTGAGGAAGGACACCAAAGTCGTTTTAGCATGCATTCAGGCATGACTAAGATGTACCAAGACCTCAAGAAGTCTTTCTGGTGGTTTGGTTTGAAGAGAGATGTAGCTCAGTTTGTTGCCTCTTGTCTAACCTTTCAGAAGGCTAAGATAGAGCATCAGAGACCTGAAGGTTTGTTACAGTAGCTTGAGATACCTGAGTGGAAATGGGATAGCATAGCCATGGATTTTGTTACCCATTTGCCACGCACAGTTAGAGGTCATGATGCAATTTGGGTGATTGTGGATAGGTTGACCAAGAGTGCTCATTTCTTGGCAATTAATTTGGGGATGTCGATGTCGAAGTTGGCGCAGTTGTACATCAAGGAGATTGTGAGACTGCATGGAGTACCTTCTAGCATTGTATCAGATAAAGATTCGCGGTTCACATCTCGCTTTTGGCAAACACTTCAGAGTGAGATGGGCAGTAGGCTACAGGTGAGTTCAGCGTATCATGCCTAGACTGATGGGCAATAAGAAAGGACGATCCAATCACTTGAGGACTTATTGAGGACATGTATTTTGGATCACTTGGGAGTCTGGATGAGGTGTTGTCGTTGGTGGAGTTCACCTGCAACAATAGCTATCAGGCCAGTATTGGTATGACTCCATTTGAAGCCCTGTATGGAAGACGCTGCAGAACACCTTTGTGTTGGTTTCAGGAGGGAGAATATGTGTTAACCGGGCCCGAGTTAATATAGCAAACTACAGAGAATATGAAGCTGATTCAAGAGAGGATGTGGGCATCTCAGAGTCGACAGAAGTCCTATGCCGAAGAGAGACGTACACCCTTGGAATTTGAAGTTGGGGATCATGTCTTCCTCCGAGTAGCTCCTACTACTGGTGTGGGAAGAGCTATTCGTGCTAGGAAGTTGTCTCCTAGATATCTTGGTCCTTATCAGATCCTGAGACGTATAGGATCAATTGCCTATGAGATAGTCATGCCACCCCGACTTGCAAACCTTCATCCAGTGTTCCATGTCTCACAGCTTAGAAAGTATGTGCCTGATCCGTCTCATGTGCTAGAGGCTGAGAATGTTCAAGTTAGAGAAGATCTATCGGTGGAGGTGCAACCTGTCAGAATTGAGGAGAGCCAAAACAACAACTTAGAGGCAAAACCATCAATCTAGTCAAGGTTGTCTGGGATAGTAGGACTGATGACTCTACTTGGGAGTTAGAGGGAGTAATGAGGAAGTCCTATCCTCACTTGTTTTCTGGTAAGTCTAATTTTCGAGGTCGAAATTTTTTTATGTTTGGGAGAATGTAATAACCTAGAAATTAATTAGAAAACTTAATGGGGTATCAAGTTAATGAAACCAAAAATTATTCCTTTAAAAGCAATTTTCAGACACATTTTGGTGCATTTAACCCAACTCCATTCCTCTCTAGAACTCAGTCTTCTTCTTTCTATCATTCCCTCACATTCAACCATTGCATGTTTGATTAGGTGGTGCTCAAGTGACCGCGACATAGAGAGCTTCGCAACCATCCGATTAGATTCTCGTTCTTCAGCGGTTAAGTCGTCTTTCTTTCTCCTCCATGATTTTGGAACCTAGGGGATGCATCTATGTTAGTTGCATGTAGCTAGAAATATTCCCTTCCATTTCCTCTGTTCTTCCTAGCTCTAAGAGCTGTTTCCATCACCATTTTGGTAGTTGTAGGGCATTGTTTAGGTCCTTGTTGTGAGGTACTCTTAGGGCTTTCCAGCGGGCTGTGCTGTTCAGTCAAGTCACTCCAAGGTAAGGGGAGCTGGATCTTGCTTTCTGTTTTGTAAATTAGGGTGTGCATGAGATAAATTGTTGTTTGAAGTGGGGAAATAACGTATGTATGGATTGTTATGAATGAGTGTCGTTTGTACTGGAATTGGAAATTTTGTATTTGAACTCGATTGCTCAAATGCCTATCTAATAGTGAAACTGTGGAATTGTACGTATGAATTGGGATGGATAAGGTTTGAGGCTAATATTGAATGGTTGAATGAAGTGAAGTCTCTTAAATAGGTGATTATAGTACTTAAGTGAATTAGGGTGTTTAGGGTCTTATTAGAGGAACTAAAGTGGTCAAATTGAGAATTGGGTATTACAGATTATTCTGGTCAGTTTAGGTGGCTTAGGCAAGTAAATTAGGACCTAATTGGACCCCTAAAATGGTCAAAATCAAACTCAAGGTGGTAGAATTAGATTTGGGCAACTAGGTTAAGAGATTTTCAGTTTTCAAGTATAAATCAATGCATAAAGACTTTAAAAAGATGTTAGGAAGGGTTAAAATCAGTTAGACATGTTTAAGTCAATATATACTTCGAGTTGGGGGTGTTAGAAGTTCAACAAAAAGGTTAGAATGAATTTTGAGTGGTTAAGTTGTGCAAATCTGCAGAATTTCATTATGCAGATTTTGCAGACTCGTAGAGCGAAGCCTTTCGCTCAGCGAGTCGCCCTGGCGAGGTGTTCTCTGTTAGGGCATTCACATAGCGACTCTGTGCGCGATGCGAATTATAACAGAGGGTTGCTCTCTGTTTGGTGAGTCGCGTAGCGAATGTAGTTGCTTTGCGACTGTTGCTAGCCTGGGAAATTAGCCAAATAAATAGAATAGCAAAGAATGGCGCGTAGCGAGAGTTCTAGGGGGTTGGTCTCTGTCTAGGCTCGCGCATAGCGACCTGGGTGCATTATGCGAGAGGTTGAAAGTCTGATGCATGTTGCGAGTTAATTCGCATGGCGAATTAGGGGGGTGCGCTGTGCGAGACCATCTTGTCTCGCGTTGCGAATAGGGTGCGTTGTGCGAACCTTTTGGGTCCAGTCTTCTCTTTTGCTCTTGCTTTGGGTGAACCAAGTGTGTGGAATGATTGAAATGCATAGCATGATGGTAGTAATGTTATTGAACTGATAGTATGTGATGGTATGAAACATGTTTGGTGGTTGAATGTATCAAGTATGGTTGATGGACGTAATTCCATGGATCTCTAAGGAGGTTACATGGTGGTGCTTATAGTATTGGACATAATTTCATGATCTTCAAGGAGAAGATTCATGGTAGTGCCCTTAGTTTTTAGATTGATTTGCATGGTAGCTCAGTCTTGGGGGTTATCCTGGAACTACAATGATCGATCATTCTCAAGTAGAGAGGATTGAACTATGTCGTGAGTAGTAGCAGGAGGTCCTAGTCTTGGGTGCTTCCAATATGGCCCAAGGTGAGTGATAACGGACTAACCTCGTGAGTGTGGTAGGGTGAAATCCATTGGCAATGGCTTTGCAAAGCAGTAGAGGCCACAACGAGTGCACGACCCGCCATAGCTCGGGAATCATTCTAGGTCCGGACGAGTCAAGTTTAAGTGCAACATGTCATGTTTGTGTAGTGTAGTGTATCTGTCTTACTTACATGTTGCATGTGACTGCTATAACATGATTTTTATATCTAGCTCACCCTTGCTTGTGTGTTTGTGTTTTGTTTGGGTATGTTTTTCTTTTGCAATGATCATCCACTTGGATGTGAGCAAAGGCAGATGAGGTGCCTCTAGAGCAGGCTTTGGAGGACGAAGGTGTTGCTGCTTAGTTTAGTTAGAACACTTGGTTGTCCTTATTATTTTGAAATACTCTAATGTGTTTGAAGT